TTGCATAATACCAACACACCCACTAATAGAGGGAGAAGAATCCTGGACCATCTATCAAGCAGAAAGTGAATGTGTTTGTACCACCTTCACTGTGCTTGTCTTCCACTTGTGGTGCTCCTGCAACAGATTTTGGCTTTCGAGAGAGACCAAGCCATATTTCAAAAAGTGAAAATCCGGACACAAATGTTGTTGATCAAAGCTGTTGAGCTTTTTTAAGTTTTGCTCAAAGTTGTTGAGCTTTTTCTACAAAATCTCAAAAAGAGAGAGAGGTTTATCAGGCATTTTAAAGGAAATTTGCCAAAATCTACACTTCCAACATGGGTTGCCATATGTCCAGCTTTTTCACTGACATTTCAGCGGTTCCTGTTCAAACGCTGTTTCCAGCAGCTGAATACCAGCTATGTCTGGGAAATTCCAGATGTATGGCAGCCCTAATTAGCTGCCTCTACCTCTTGATCTCACCAGCTTGCATCAGATTCCTTGGGTAGAGTCTTAAAAGAAACACCACATTGGATGGCAAGACTGTAGAAGGCAGTGTCACCACCACCAAAGAAGAAACATCAAACAGCATCTCCCATTTGGAAGTCACATTGGTGTGGGGAAACCGCCCCCCCCTCTCTTTCCTCCACCCCATCTAGCATTGTAGCGTTTCCTTTCAAGGCACTTTTCAGTGAGAGGAAGAAGTTTGGGAAGCAGGGGAATGTCCAGCTCATCTTCTGGTGAGAGTGCAAGTTGTGGGACAATAGCCTGTGTGAGGATATGGAGGTGTCCAAAATCTCACATCAATTTTGCTTGTGAGTGGGAGGCATGTGTTGGCTTTATATATTGTTTTCCTTTAATTGCATAGCCCGAGTAGCATTCTGGGGGAGTTTGTGAATTCAGATGTGCCTTGATCAGAAAATGAAACGGAAAGGGGATATGCATGCACCTGAAATTGTGGTTGTGGGTTGGGGAAGGTCTGGTGGAATGAGGAGAGAAGGACATCAGAGATTTGGGGGAACCTGGAAAGCTATAGGCCACCCATTCTCCTGCCCATTCCACAGGAACCAAGTGGACTGGCTACTATGTCCTCTGGTCTGGTGGTGCTGTGGTGAATGCCAGATGAGTTTATAATAAAACTTCAGCCCTCCCAAGTTTGATCATGGATGAGGGAGCTGCCTGGTGTGCATTACTGAGACCCATGTGGATGAGCTGAGTCGATCTGACCCAGTTTGTCTGCCCAGGTACTTGGTGCAGAACAAATTTAGTCTAGAGGTTTGGGAGGGGGTGGTTGGGAGTCACTATATTCTAGAAAACAGGGACAAAGAATCTGCATGGCTCAAATTTGGTCCTAATTTGGCCCTCAAGGCCATTTTTCACAAACCTGGCCCACTCCTGATGCCATACATGACATTCTGTGTGGGGCAGGGAGAGACGCAGCTGGATCATCTACACAACCAAGTTCCCCATGGAGAACTTGATTGTGCAGCTGACCCCTGCAGAAAGCTGGCTTGAAGTCACCAGCCATCAGCTGATCTCTGCAGAAAGAAATACTACCTTAGCAGGAAAGCCGGTTTTGGCATGAACATAGCAGAGAACCTGTATGCAATGTTGTCCAATGGAGTAACTGGAAAGCCTTGCTATAGGCAAGATCCCATTAGGTGAAGAGTCCTAAATCTCATGCTGCGTGCCAGGCTCATGAGGAGTCTCTTGAGATACAAGACCTCTGAGTGTTCTGGGGCTCATTGGGACCCGAGAAGGAAGGTTTAGAGAAGTTCACACAGAGTTAACTTGGGATTTCATGTCTTCCATGACAACCAGGGGGCCACCTTAGTTTGTCACTGGTTCAACATGTAAGGAAGGGCACACACTTAATCCAGCCTTTGGCTCAGGTTTGCTGTCTGGATGTTAGAGGAGCTGGATTTATTGTTACGGTGAAGTTTGGTCTGGTGAATTGTGTTTTTATTTTCTTTTATGCAAACCACTTAGATATTTTCATTATTATTAACTGGTATACCTTTTTATCAATCAATAAATAGGTGTTCCAGTTCTCTCTTCCTCACTGCAACTCCCTCTCTCCTCCCCTCCTCACCCTGAGGGTTACATCTGAGGATTGAGGGGCTTTTGGGAATGGCATAATTATGGAAAACTGGAGCAGGAAGGGTAGGAAATCAGTGGATATTTGGTTGTGAATGGGTGTTCTGCTCTGCAGGACGTCTTTTCAATTCATAGCACATATTCTCCCAATATGTATTAAGGCATCATATTAGATTGATTTTATTTGATTGTGTATGCTTTGAGGTACTACTAATAATTTTTAAAAACTATTCTGAGATATCTAAATCTCACAGAGAAGGCCTTTTTGTTATTAATACAATGAGCCACATGCAGAGCAATGTTAGCATACCTTTAGCATCCAGGAAGCCATCACTATAGAATTATTTTTTTAAAAAACCCTTTGGAGTTGGGTGGGTTGCATGAAAGAAAAAATGTATGAGGGACTCACTCTGCTGTTTTCTATAAATCTGAACTCGCCACCCATAAAAAATGTTTTAGTAATGCTCATTTGCATACCAATTTTGCTATTCTCCAGGGACATTAATTATCATCTGATTTGCAATTAGGCAAGAGAGTACTGAGTTGCAGTGTGGAATGCCAGTACAGCTAAGACCTAGTGATGCAAGCTGCTTGGCTGGAAAACCTTTGGTATGCTCAGAGAGTGATGGGAAGTGCTAGTTACGAGATTATGGAAATGAAAACTAGGAAATAGTTTGTGACTCGCCATATGGAAGCTAATGAAGCGGAATCCATGTGGTTTTGGAATGCATTCAATAATCCATTTCCAAATGGCAAATATACACAGTGCTTACTGTTTGGGGAAATGTGTGTGTTGTACAATAATGTCATGGCCTTTGTTTTCATATGCTTCTGATTTCTTTCCCTCTCCTGAATTGGCATTCTCACGCCAGAAATCATAGTTCTCTTCGGCAACCACCTTAAATAGCATTGGTGTGCTACACCACCTGGCAAAAGCTTTGTTTAGAAAACCCACGTATGCTGCATGGAAAAGTTTGCAGTGAGATTAATTAGGATCAATTTTAGTTGGGAGGGTTTGCTTCTTTCCATAAATGTTCTTGTATATGTTGATTTAGCAATAATGGCTGAAAGATGAAAGGTATTTCATAGCAATTAATGACCAGCTGGAGGTAGCTTCTCATTCCAGATGGATGCTCATTATCAGAAAATGCCCTCTGTATGCTGGCATTTTGCTATAGTAAGCCATGTGGTCTACTTTGCTAGGGCAGACTCGCTTTCCCAACAAAACCCCAGTCTTATTCTTAGGATTTAATAAGTAGTTTACTCTCTGGGGCCACATGCTCATGTAAGGAACCATATAAACTAATCTATTCTGGTATCTTGTCCAAAGTGGCTAGCTTTTTCAGTTCTATCTCAACATCTCATGATATCTTATATTTGCTTAAAAAGAGTTGAGAATCCCTGTTTCCCCAATGTCTCCAATATAATTTTTCTAAGTTCGTAGAGTGAATGTTTTGTTAACTAAACGGCAGAGTAGTGATCTTCAAACAAAAGTGTCTTCCCTCACTAAGTCTTTATCTAACGTAGAGAGAGCCAATGTAGCTCCAGCTGTGAAGGACTACAACTCACTTCATCTCTGATCATTGACCACACCAGCTGGGGCTGATGGGAGCTAGAATTCAAGAGCATCTGGTGAGCATCTCTGGGATCATAGACTTTTGCTCTAGCAAAGGCAGCCTACACATGAAAACCGGCTTCCACATATGCTTGCCATTCAGGATTGTGTCCATGCATGAAAATTGTGTCCATGCATGAAAAGTCTGCTGGTAGAAATCTCACATGCAGTCCTATGTGGAGATGTGTCTCTGTGTGTTCATCTTTGCTATGAGTCCTGGAAGACCTTGCAGGCCTTTTCCTACCTGGCCCAAGGAGGCAGGTCCCTAACTCCAACTACAAAAGCTGATGTTGCTGAACAAAGTATGCTGGGAAATTGTTTTGAAGGTTTTGTTTGGGACGGTTGTTGCTGTTACTGTTTTTAATTTTTTGTACTTTTTTTAGATCTTATGTTTTATGTAGAAATTGTTCCATATGCTTGTGTACGTTTTGATCTCTTATTGTTTATCACTACTTTTGCTATGCTTATTATGTATTTTTTCATGTTGCAGGCTGCTGTGAGCAAGATTTTAATGATGGAAAGGTGGCATACAAATTAAAATGATGTATATATGTATGTTAATGTTCCTGTATCACGGGCATGCCACCCTACATATTGTCAGTGCTGTTTTAAAAATATGACAATGCTGAACACTGCTGAATCCAGGGACTGCTTTGCCTCAATTCTCCAACAATTGAGAACTGCCATAAAAAACTGAGAATGCCAAATCTCTTAATAGGGAAGATGCTTACATACAGTAGTCACCATTAGAGTTTCACAGCTGCATGCAAAGTTCAATGGATAAGAGTTTTTCCTATACCCAAGCATTGTATAAGCCTGGTGTATACCTAATGATTTGCTAGCTTTTAAAAAAAATCTCATATGCTATCGTTTTCTCCACAGTTTCTCCCAGTTCTACCATGGACAGCACCCTCTCTTTAAGCCTGATCAGACTACATGAACAAAGTGTGTCCTGAATGAAAGAAACAGAAATTATTAAGGAGTGCTTACAGGAAGACCAATTGCAGAAAATAAAACCAATCGTTCTGGCATTCCTTAAGCCATATAGACCCTGATCCAGTTAGTATATGACTAGCCACCCCTCCTAAAAAATCTTAATAAAATTATTTTTTATTACCATATGCTCACCAAATACATATTTTGCTTTGCATAGAGGCCTCAGTGTCACCATAGATTGGCAAAGAGTCATAATAAACACACCAAAAAGCATTTATTTCATCTCATTGCAGCACAACTTGGAATGGGAGCCAGCATGCAGTCCAGTATCCTCTTGCTTCGAAGTCAGTCCATTGACTATGCATGTATAGAATTGCACTGTCTGAGAATGTAGCTGCATTCTTTCTAAAGCATAGAAAGAATTTGTTCTTTCTAAGGCATACCTATTTTGAGCAAAATGTGATAGTAAAAAACCAACAAACCAACAAATCACCAGCCTCAAAGACATACTAAATGATTGTCACTATGCAAATACAAGGTAACGTTGTCTTATCCATGAGAAGTTGATTAAGATTTAAGGATGAGGAACCTCAAACCTACAGGCTTAATTAGGTCTAGTATCAGCTGGGAGCAAAAGCTCCCATTGGCACCAGTGCAAAGTTTCCTGCCAACGCAAACAGCAGCCAAGGGGGAGATGCAAAGGGGAGATTGGGACTGTGATGTGGTGGGAAGGGTTAAAGTTGCCTTCCTCTCATGCTGGTCACTTCCTCCTCCCCACCTCAGCTGCTATTTATTTAAAAAGCAGAAGTGCTAAGTGCATGACTAACACCATGTCTTGTGTGCCATTAAAATATTTCTGTGCAGCCACACTCATGATATATGCTAAAAACACACACATACTTAAAAGTGCATCAATTAGAACTGAAAAGTTTGAAGGTGGGGGTGTGCTGCTGTGGGACTTACCCAATTTCACCTAGTTTCTGAGTACTGGCGTGCGGTGAAATTTTTCGTAGGGGAACATTTAGGGCCTGAGGCACCACCTTACAAGAGAAATTGGCGAGGGGGTTGATGTTGTGTGCATGATGTCCCAACATTGCATGCATGAGCACTGCACGTCCCTCCCTAAGCTGGGCAGAAGCTTCCTGGGCTTTGGGAAGAAGGCACCAAGCATTAATACTTTAATACTCTAATTTACTGGGAACATGTAAAGGACTAGCCTAGTACCCCTAGTCCACAGACCGCACACCACTGTTGCTGAGTCCCATATGTGGGCTGTGCAAAGCAAGGCCCCCTTTCTACTTTGTGGATAGGTGAGTGAACTGAGCAGAGATGTGTTCAGTTGAATCATAGTAGAGTTGGAAGGGACACCAAGGGTCATCTAGTCCAACCCCCTGCAATCCTGTGGGTGGGCTTGAACCACCAACTTTCTAATTAACAGCCAGATGCAGTGACCCATTGTGCCACAGAAATCTTCCAGGTGTCCAGCAGCTATCAGATGCACTGAATAGGTGCACTTGAGACCTGTTTGGATGAGTGGTGAATCATTGCTCTTGATGGGATGCTGATGGTTCTAACTGTAAGGAACAGCAACCCATACAACTGCAGAATTGAACTTCAAAGCAATAAGAGCATATAATAAGAAGGTTAATTAACATAGAGCAAGGTGAAAAAATCCTCATTAAAAGAATGTAATTAACCCATGTTCACAGCTCAGCTGCATGATTGTATTTTGTTGTTTATCTCAGACTGAAATGCCCCTCCAGTGCCTTCTTAAATCATCATAAAAGCAATTCCCAAGAGGTTCTCATTAGTGTCTACAGAAATATCAAATTCAGTTAGATATTTAGCACATCACTTAAAACATTGAAAACCACTTGCCAATTTCCCCTTTCACAGTGCAGCACTGGTGTCAAACATAATGTTGACAATGGATATAAACTGTTTGAGAGTCAGCGGACAGTTAATAATAGTTACGGAAGTCAGACATCATGGACTGTAGAAACATTCATCTTGTTGGTTGCCTGATATTTTGATCTGGTAGATGGGCCTCCATACCTAAAATGAATTCCAAGGCTGCAATCCTCCAAACCATGAAGTTCCATTGGCTTAAGTTATTGAGTAGGCATTATTCCATACATGTGACTTCTGCATCAAATATTGGCTTGTATGTGAATGAGCCATCTCAGATCTAGAACAATATTTAAAGCAGAAAACACATGGTGAAACAGACAGTTGCTAAGAAAACGCTCCCTTGAAGAGGATAAGATAGTTTAGAAATATCTAAAGGGAATATAGCTCTCCATGGGAATAAAGAAAGGGACCCTATCCTGTGGACTTCTAGATGTTCCCTGGTGGCAGGGGCTAATGGGAGATGCAGTGTGAAAATGTCTGGAGGCCCACAGGCTAGTCCCCTCTGGTATAAAACATGGGAAGAAAGCAAAGCGTAAGAACAACTTTGGCTTTTTGAAGTATGGGGTGAGAGGAATATATGCAAAATGAAACAGGAAAACTAATAAACCACATTAGCCGGGGGGGGGGGGACCATCTGTGCCCTTGCCCTTCGCAAAATTTCCCAGGAACAAATGCTACATCATCACACAGTGGCATCCCATCCCAAAATGCAAAGTGAACTGTGCTGGTCAAATGATGCCATCCAAACCACCACCTGAATGTAATGGTTTCTTTTGTTGTTGTTTGAAAAAAAGAGACCACCCCCCAGCCACATTCAAAAGTTATTTGATTTCTCCCATGACACCGATATTCCCCTCCCGCCAGTTTTTCAGGAGACATATAGTAGTTCCAAGTAGGGGTGTGTGTGTGTGTGTGTGTGTGTGTGTGTGTGATTATTCGACCCAGTCTCAATCCAATTCCATCTTAAAACTAGTTGTTATCATTTTGTGACTTCTTGAAATTGTCACTGTCTAGATTTATGTGGTTGGTACTTTGGTAGTCTTCTAAAACCCACTGTAATTTTTTATTCTTTCTATTTTACGTGCGTTGTTTTCCTTCACTGCTATTAGTCTCTATTATCATTTTGCATAATGGCAAAGGTTTATGAGCCAGAATTAATGGTCTGAAAGGCTTTTGGCTTTACTTGCTCCCTGCACCTGCGTCTAGTAAACATTCAGATTCTTCCCAATATAAACTGTTAAATATATTGTTCTAGAAATTGCTCCTAACCAGAAAAGCCCCTACCAGAGACCAGGGCCTTATTTGTAATATACATTTAAAGCCGAAGCAAACCACTTTATAAATAGTAATGGCTTCTCCAAAATAAATGCTCTAGGCTTTGGAACAAAAAATTTCTCCCCGCTGCCACCCAGTGTTCTATTTCTCCTTTCTTCCAGTCTTGCCTTCTATGCTTGATGAATAGACAATGAAGCATGTTATTAAAGATCTGTTTATTTATTTCTCTTTTGGACAGAACAGGATGCCCTGACCAGGAAAGTGGCATAATGTTCAATCCTTCCTATCCAGAAATGAGGTCTAATTTTCCAGCAACTACGGGACTATTTAAATACAACCAACTGAATTACCCTATAAGAGCTTGTTTACAGTGACATCACAATCTGATCATGGTTCAGGTGAATCTAAATATTACAGCACAGATTGAGAAAGCAAGAATATAACCAAGCTCAGGAAGGTACCCACACAACTCCCACAACTGGAAAGGTGTTGATGGCTTCCACCTGGAAGAAGTTGCGAGTGCTTCACAGTAAGGCTAATTGAGGATGAGTCCAGTGAAGGATGGCCCATTAAGATGAATGGGGCTCTGCCCATTGACCTAACTCTGGCCTAAACCAGTCCCCACCTGTCTGGCTTGTTATTTACATCAGCCCAGGTTGGCCTGATCCTTTTATGTTCTCATTTCTTTCACTGTAACCTCCATTATGGAAATAAACATGTTTAGAATTCTCAGTTACCTCAAAGATTTGGACTAATCTGCTTCCCTTCTCTACAGTTCTGCACAATAATCTAAATGCAACATTGTTGAGGTAACTCTGCATGTTTGTGCTTTTTAATAAACAAATATGCTCAGCTGTCATATGCCAGCCAATGCATTATTTAATTGGGCTGATTTGAGAATGTCACTCCTTATATACCGTTGGGTGGCTGCCAGCCATTCCAGGCATAGTGATGAGTCTAGGAGCACCCTAGGCAGATATTTGCTTACGTTCAAAGCCACGTTGAAATGAATACAGAAAACTGCACATGAAAATAATGATGCTTAAAACACTTTTCATACACAGGCGATGTCGGAAGCAGGAAGCTATTAAGAAGAAGAAGAAGAAGAAGAAGAAGAAGAAGAAGAAGAAGAAGAGTTTGGATTTGTTATCCCGCTTTATCACTACCCAAAGGAGTCTCAAAGCAGCTAACATTCTCCTTTCCCTTCCTCCCCCACAACAAACACTCTGTGAGGTGAGTGGGGCTGAGAGACTTCAGGAAGTGTGACTAGTCCAAGGTCACCCAGCAGCTGCATGTGGAGGAGCAGAGACGCGAACCACACCTTTCTTCAGATACACCTTTCATGTTCATAGGCAATAGTTGTTCAAACACTGCGACCGTAATTCAGGAGTGGGGAATGTGTGGCCCTTAGTATGTTGTTGGACTCCAACTCCCAGCAGTCCCCGTTAGTAATCCTGTGGCCAGGGACTATGGGAGCCGGAGTGCAGTAACATCTGAACAGCCATAGGTTCCCTACTCCTGCTGTAAACCTCACTCAATGGGGCTTACTTTTAAGAAGACTCTGCTTCTGACCTGTATCGGCTTTATGCAGATGATATAAAGACATACATCAATTGTAAATAAGAGGTGTGGCCGGTACCCTATTTTGAACAATTACCAGCAGGTCTATTTAACTTGTCTTTTGAAATTTCTTTAGGCAACCTTGTTTTTTTTAATCCACAGGAAAGGCTATCTGAAAATAGATACAGTGGTACCTTGGGTTAAGAACTTAATTTGTTCTGGAGGTCTGTTCTTATCCTGAAACTGTTCTTAACCTGAAGCACCACTTTAGCTAATGGGGCCTCCCACTGCCGCCACCCCGCCGCCACGTGATTTCTGTTCTCATCCTGAAGCAAAGTTCTTAACCCGAGGTACTATTTCTGGGTTAGCGGAGTCTGTAACCTGAAGCATCTGTAACCCAAGGTACCACTGTACACCGAGCCCAGGTAAACTACAAAAGTGGTGGTGGGGAGAACCTATCTATCTATGGGCTATTGTAAGAGATAAAGATTTGCCTACTGAGTGGTGTGCTGAAATTGCAACCACCTTCCAAACCATGGTCATTCTTCCAAACGACCTCAATTTGCAGGCCTGCATTTGTGGAAACTATGGTAGGAGAGTCCAGTGTAGACCACAGATCCCTGGCAAGTTAAGCATAGTGCAGGAGGGCAAAAAGTGCTGAAATTTATCTAATCTGAAGCCAATTTCTCCATGCAGTTCTGCCCTTAAAGCTAACCATCTGTGGCTTCTTATTATCCAGCTGGTTGCCTTAAATAATATTGATTCTTCCCCTGGACCTCTGCTGCATTGTTTCACTTTCTGACTTGCTTAAACTAATCCTGCTTATTCAGACTTCTCTTGGCAGCTATTAAGCTTTATTTCCCTTCTTCTCTCCAGTTGGATTTCTTCTTGGCGCCTCATTTGAGTTTTTCCCCATTTGAGGTTCAGCCGTGTGATCTGACTGCAGTGATAACTTTTAACTGGAAAAGAGGTTGTTCCCCCTACTCCTCTCTCCAAAGGTATTCCCTACTTGATTTGCCGAGACCTTTTAATTGCAGACATTGCCTTTGCTCCAGTCATCTGCTTTCCTGGAACACGACAATGGCTCTGTGTCCCTACATGCCTTTCATTCTGTAGACTTATCTATGCATACCCCTTGCCTTATTGTAACAAAGCACTGAGGTTGTCATGGATATGCCTGCCTGCTCTGCAGGTATCAAAGTGTGATGGAAAAAAATAGAATGGATAATATTATTAAATCCAATCAAGTCTCATTATTTGTCATCTGTGATGAAGACTTTGTTAGAACAAAAAAGGCTGATAAGTTTAGGTGTGCTCCTGATTTTCATTTAAGCAAAATGAGCATGGCGGCATCGTAACTGCAAAGAATTAGTTAATACACTTATTTATTTAGGTACAGTAAAATACTAATCATGTCTACTTCTTGTAGTTTTGACATCGGCACCTAGTAATTCTGTCACCCCTCTTTCTGCCCCACAATATTTCTGCACAAGACCAGCACTTTAAAATGTGATTCTGGTGCTTAGCAGTTTGATATATTTTTCAAGTCCCGTCTTCCATTATTTCACCCGAAATTAGTCCCTCCTGCTCTACTGCTTGGTGTCGTCTGCTCACTCTATCATAACCTAAATTATGAGCTGTATTGCAGTTTGATCTTTCAGCTTGAATTGAGTGTGGTGGATGGCCTAATAGTACTGTAATCAAAATTGGGGGAAGGGGGGATTGAGTATAAATTTTGAGACGGTTGAAATACCAGAAGGCTACCTGCAGACCAAGAAGAAATATATGTTATAAAAAAGCAAAACACCAGACTGAAAATTGTTAGAGTTAATAAACTACTAGAAGAATACTCAAGGTTGCTACCAGATCTGCTTGAACACTTAATTTTGGAGAATTAGCAGTGCTACTCTTGGAATCATTGCAAGAGATTACAGTGAGCTGCTGGTGTGTGTGTGTGTGTGTGTGTGTGTGTGTACATAAAATATGTATATTAAGTGTGAAAATGCAGGCCTTGCAGTAGACCCTATTATCTAGCTTGCTTTGGGGAATTAATAGTGACCCATACATAGCCAATGTAAGTGTGTTTGCTTTCAGGAATTAGCAATAATCAAACATTTGTTGTAGCTATAATAGTTATTAACAAAAATGGTTTAAAAAGGAATATCATAGTTTGAAGCAGCAAGGAAGTATTGTAAAGCAGTAAAATGTATTCTGTGTGCTGTGGTTACACTTCATGCCGGCTACCCACCCCACATAATCTGGACCATATACTTAGGTACTATTGCAGAGGCAGTGGACATTATAGTGCAAAATGGTATATGATTTGCCCTAAAAAAAACCAACAGATCTGCACCAGATGCTATTCAATGAAAATATTTAAAGAAACGTGTTTTCTACACACACTATTTCCAGCAGTAGGTTGAAGAGTAGGCAGTGCCACTGCACCTCTTTGGAAAGGTTGCAATGTTGGTCCTGAGCTCTGAATGCAAACATTCTTCCAGCTGACATAAAAGGCAGATGGTTGCTGAAGGTGTGCAGATGCATCAACACTGGTGGGAATGGACCCAGAAGGGGCTCTTTGTGTCCACTCCACCCCCAGTAGGCCTCTTCAGTTCTTGTTGGAGCTACCCACCGGCCCTCAATCTATCTCAGAACAGGACTAGATGCTTTCTTAACAGCTGAACAGGAATTTCTGGCCTGTCCACAAATTGGCTTGGTGGGCAGGTTTTCCCTTGCACTGAGAAACAGGCCACAGTCAGTGTGGGCAGGTCACTTAAGTAGCCCAGTTAGTCACTTTTAGCAGTGAGGTGCAGGAAAATGGTAGGTGAGGACATCTAGGTGAGGCCCCCAAAGCATCTTTAAAAGTGATGGATGTCTCCAGAGGCCCACTGCTATGGGACCTGGGAGTAGGATACAGATGACCTTTGCAGCTATCCTGGTTCACCCAAACAGAACATGGGGCTTCAATGGTACCGTGTGATTTGGGAAGACCCTCCTCCTCATTTAAGAAGGTCTGGCCTGAATAAAAAGGCATTTATTTCCTTTTCACCAGGGCAGGGCTGGGCTCACCTTCACAGCAAGGAGGCTTAGTTGCTTGAACTCCATTCAGTCAGGCTGAGCATAGAATGAGTCACTCGGCATAAGACGTCTCTCCGAGTTCTAACTCTACAGCAATAAAACAGAGCAAGAGAAACATAAGATCCTCAAATAGACTTGTGAGGCTTGCTCATGTTAACTGGTACAGTACTAAAAAGCAGCTTGAAAGGAAGGTGGCACATCCTCTCAGGTTTGGGTCTTCAGACTGCCCAAGTCACAACCACTGAGTTCTTTCTTTATGAAAAGACGTGCCGAGAAGTGCTCTGACAGAAACTCTTGGTAGTTCAGATAGAGCTGGGGCGCCTTTCTTCAAAGTGTTACATTGTGTAGGAATACAATGCACAGTTTGTCATGTTTCTGCCAGCAGCTTATATCCTGGTTTGTAATGTGAGACTCAACCGTCGCATGTATTCTGTCTAGATGTTGCTTGAAGGAAACAATCAATTTAAGGAGCAATGATTAACAAATAAGAAGCAAGGAGCCTGGGGAATACTTTCTCTTGATCAGCATTTTTATATATTAACCTGAGGGCAGGATGGAAAGTTTTGGGTTTCTTCATATCAATAATTTCAGCAGAAATAGAATAGAATAGAATAAGTATCTCTTTAGCATCCAGTGCTGAAGTAAACCTTAATTACACAGACAATTGTATCGTTTTCCCAATAGTGATGTGTGGAAGTGAGTGCTGGACCATAAAGAAGGCTGATCGCCGAAGAATTGATGCTTTTGAATTATGGTGCTGGAGGAGTCTCTTGAGAGTCCCATGGACTGCAAGAAGATCACACCTATCCATTCTTAAGGAAATCAGCCCTGAGTGCTCACTGGAAGGACAGATCCTGAAGCTGAGGCTCCAGTACTTTGGCCACCTCATGAGAAGAAAAGACTCCCTGGAAAAGACCCTGATGTTGGGAAAGATGGAGGGCACAAGGAGAAGGGGACGACAGAGGACGAGATGGTTGGACAGTGTTCTTGAAGCTACCAGCATGAGTTTGACCAAACTGCGGGAAGCAGTGGAAGACAGGAGTGCCTGGCGTGCTCTGGTCCATGGGGTCACGAAGAGTCGGACACGACTAAACAACAACAACATGAGCGGTAACCAAGGTTTGTCCAGTGGTTCATGGTTTGTGGTTTGTCCAGGGGAGATAAACCATAAGCCTGGTTTGGGAAACTTATGGTTCAGCTACGCACACCAGCAAAATAAGCAGGGAGCCATGAAGCAGCCTCCTCTGGAACCTGGATGCTTATACAGTCATGCGAAGCCATGGTTTGGCTTGGCATGATATGCGAACCAGGCCACCAATTGGCCGTATATGCATCACCATAAACTTACCCTCCAACACGTCACAATGAAAAAATGGGGTGCCATCTTCCGGGGCCAAACTCCTGTGCGAGGAGTTTAGACTAAACGACTAAACAACAACAACCCGAGGTACCACTGTATTCAGGTGTTCCTCCTCACACCATCGCAAGAGGAGGAGAGCAGCAGCACACACACTGGCCTCCTTCTTTTTTTGGCCCACCATCACACCGTGGGCAGGGATCCCCGCTGGAGTGATTGCATCCTTTTTGGCAAAGGGATATAACTCCAGACCCACACAGTCCACAGAAGCAACTGTTCCATTTGCTTATGCTATGCCTTACATGCCGATATTTTAGGAAATGGAACCACGTCAAGATGAGAGTAGAAATCTAAACCAACATTTTTTTTAATCTATAATTTCTAGTGTGTTCTATTACAAACCTTGCATCCGGGGCTATTCTTATAAGGTATACCACTTTAGAATGGTTACTTATAAGGATAGTATTTCAGAAACTATTGATTATTTTTATTGGCTCTTTCATTTTCTTCACTGATATTCTTTCCTCATAAGAATATATGCAACTTATTTGACTCTTTAAAGCTCTGGCATCTCTTCTGTGTCTGCACTGCCCCATACCACGAGTGGATGTATTGTTATTATTATAGAAGAGAGCAATACCAAATAAACAACAGTGCCTTCCATTGCAAGAAAACATCTCTCCTTGACTGATATTGTATTTCTCATAGCAATAAAACCCAGACCCTTTTCCCTCTTTCCTTTTGCTGCAGCTGCACTTTGGAGTGAAGGCTTTATGAATTCTTTTACAATAAGTCCCAAATCTCCTTCCTCATAAGTGTACATCTCTGACTGTCAGCTTCCCCCTCCTGCATTTCACAACTCTGTTCTGCACGTTGTTTCCTATCATCCAGTCTTCCTCCCCTCCCTAAATGATGTGATTATGATACTCTGATATTGATTAGGGTGGAACCCCCTGGATTTGCCACCTTGCTTTTAACACATTCCTTTCCCATTCATCTGGATCTGAATCTGAATCAAATGCCCACTCATTTTTTATGCAACAGTGGCTTGCAGGAAGAGATTGGGCTTCAGCTTCTGAGTTTAATTTATCATATTAAACCTGGAAAAGATGTCTGCTTTCTTTCTGGAGGGTTGAAAAGCATTCCCCAACTGGATTTCTCATTTTCCTCTCCCTTTTGCTCATATATTTTCCCTGATGTGAGTTGTTTTGTAGCTTCTTTCTACTTTCTTCTGGTGCTAGTTTATTTGTTGTTGTTTTTTTAAAAAATATCTTGCCCTTCCTCTCAGGCAGCATTATATTACAACTCTACAATACAATATTAAAATTACAACTAAAACCACAGACCAGAAATCTGCACCCACACCCTAGAATAATGAAGCAAGATGCTCCTAACTTAAACATAAAAGAGATCTGCAACATAACTTCTGATTGAATGGAGCATTGTAACTGTCCATGCATATATCAGTCCAGACCCAAACCTGTCTGGGTCAAGCAAATAGAAAATAATTGTCACATACATGTTTCATGTCTATTAAAAAACAACACCCACAATGAATAACAAAAAATCATGGATTTCATTTCAGGATAATAGAGATCCATGTGAATACCAAAGGAGAATCTAAATAATCAGAGGTATAAGTGCTACCTCTGATCTCCCTGGCTTCTATTGCTCTGTCAGGAGACACACATGAGATTTTCTTTTCTGAGCAGTTATCTATCTCCTGTTGTGTTGTCTCAGTGGGAGACAAATGGAGGTCTATTCTATCACTCTGAGAAATTCTGGTAAGGGATGCCAGAAACTGATCACCCTATCCGCCAGGGAGCTCAGAGGAGAACCAGAGAGAGAAGAGGGAGCTAGAACTTCCTGTGAAGAAGATGTATGTAAAATTTGTAAGTGCCAGCACAACTGTTCATACATGTACAAGCCCAGTTCAAAATATGCTGGAAGGGTCAAGATTTGGGGACTGATGTGCGGTGTTTCCTAGGTTCTAGAATGACTGGTTCTTTCAGCAGAAGTACTTGCACAGTCTGAGATGCTCTTGTTGACAGTTTATGTTCGCTCCTGAGAGCCACACATTTTCCCTGTTTTATTCCACCCTCACTGTTTTGCACTACATTATGTTTGACGGGCTCCATAGGAGGATGTCCACTTGCCTGTTTCCTCAAGCTGGGAGTTAGCATCACTACTACTGGGCTGGCATGTAGTTGTCATCAAAAATCCAATAGGACTCCGACCGTTCACAGTGTAATCCTGTTTGATTGTAATAATGAGTGTTTAATAGGCAGTTTCTTTGTCTGTGAGTCTTCCTCACCCCCACCCCTTAACAAAAACCAATTTTAAGAGGGGGGGAAGCATAATAGTCTCCCCCCATTTGTGTTGCATAAAATGAGAAAGGAAGAATGGAAGAAAGGAAGAAAGAAGCAACAAGCAACAGCTGCCTGCAGGCTATTATGACGCTGAAGAGGCAGTGGAAGGGAAGTGCTGGAGCTAAAGTTCTCATTCATGAAATCAGATTAAGCGGTTAGTTGAATCTCTCTCATCTTTGAAGCTAATGGCAGAGATGCATAATCATCTGCCTCCAGTCCAAGTCGACTGGGTATTATTTTCGCCAGCATGAGTTCAGGTCTTTATCTTCCATTGTGTTTTTACAATTTGCTTTTCATAATTGGTTGACGGGGAGAATCATCAAGTATAAAGCCTGCTTCATTGAGATATGAGTAAAATTTCCACCCTGGTCCTTTCAGTGATAGCCTTCCCACTGAGCGATACAAGTAACAATTAATAGCAGAGATTTGCTTGCTTGCCACAGACAGACAATCCAGGGGCAGAATACGTTCCACATGTCTCTCACCAATGTATCCAACCACTTCTCGTCTGCGTTCTGCCCGCTTCCTGTCACACAGCTACATTTCACTCTTTTATTCTTAGGCGTCATTGTGGGTTGCAGTTAAATACACCCAGGGAAATATTTAAAGGGCAAATAGTCTCAGCAGAGCAAACTTCCAAAAGAGAGACCTTTTCCTCCCACAAACACGACTCGTGCTGAAAGCTGTGTCCCAATCCTGAATGACCCAAAATAACAATAATGCGCTTTTGAGTGGGTAGTACACAACCAGGACAATACTGGCAAGAAAGCTCTCTCCCTTTCTGTTAAGAGATGCACCTCTAACGAAGAAAACACCGTCCAGAGTGCCACAGGAAGAGTGAGAGTGAACAGCAGTCAAGAGATAGCTGGTCTGTTGGGAGACTATTGGTGGACGTTTGATTCCTGCAAGAATCTCAGATAGCGGCAGGGTGATGCAATGGCATTGGAAGGCAGAGAGAAAAGAGATTCTACATGCCACAGAAGCCTATGGACTCCATTGCTGGTCCAGGTATCATAGGTTCTGCTTCTTGCAGAACTGTAAGTGGCAAGAATAAGGGCAGGGTGATAGCTTCCAGAAAGGAAAAGAAACAGATTTTTGTCCTGAATGGAAAGAGGCATGCAATGGAGCCTGTTTGAATCGCACGGAACTGTCTCTTATGTCCAGAACTAAACCGTCACTGCTCAACGTTGCTTGATGTACTCATTTCCAGTTTAACGTTTTGACGTGATATACTGCATGTTGAAAGACTGTCTATCTTTGCCCATCTGCATTCTGCTCCCTTTCTGAGATCCATGAAACCTGGGTTGACCAACATGGTGCTTGTGGGCACAGCAGTGCCCTCAAAAGCTTTCCTTGGTGCCAGTAGTGGATGGTGGGGTGCTGCTACTCACCTGACCTCCATCAGGGCCCTTACATGATGCTGACTTCACTGCCCCTGCCCCCTCCTGGTAAGCAAGCAGCAATGATGTGACCAACAAGAGTTCAGATGAGCAGCAGTGCCACTCCATGCTATCTGCTACTGTTTGGCACCTGCCAAACCCACCCTGCCCTTTCCAATTTTTATTTTAAATCAGGGTGCAGGATTTCCCCCCTCCCCTTATAGGTTTTTGGGGGTTTTCTGCCTCTCTTTTTTAAGGGGAAGGCTCCAGTCACCAGATTTTCTTTGATGAAATTGATATTTTCATCAAAGTTTCTTAATTTCCAAATGTACTTCTGAATGTGCAAACCTTGCTCAGAACAGCAGTATCACTTCATCCTTGCTAATTCCATGGTTTCACTTCCCTGTCCCTGCCAGGTTGTCTACTGTCTTTTGCTTTCCATGTGTTGGATTCTATCCCTCCCAGCGATGTAATCCTACACCAGCAAACAAAACAGAAGAATGATCAGTGAAAACATGTACATCATTTCCTCTTCTAAAGCCTAACTCCATATTAAATATCAACCACACACCAGTGTCAAGGCTCTTTTCGTCTGTGACTAAATAATTGAACAGAATGCCTGCAAAATAAAGCCATTTTGCTTCTACTCGCAATTGTTATCCTATTTTCAGTGAGCTACCATGTGTGCAGAATACAGCACCATCCTCAGCATATCAAAGTTACTGAGTGGAAATTCAAACCACACAAAAACAATATGTACACACGATAAACACAAACATATCAAACCTAGAAATTGTTCCTTCATGGTCCAGGCTCAAATGTGTCTGGATAATGCAGCAAATAACAAATATAAAATGGAAGACAGAGGCTGTTTCTCTGATTTCCTACCCTAGAAGGGAAATAAGGTTGTAATCAGTATCAATAGCAAATTGTTTAACATTGGGCAATATATTAGCAGGCTGATTATATGTTACAAACAGCCTTCTACAATGTGACTTAAAGAAACTATTAGGACTTTCAGTCTAGATGTTAGAGTTCTGTAACCTATGCAGAACAATAACACCTGATAAAGTTGGGCTGTCTACCTGATTTCATGCCAGAATCTCATCCTATATCTAAAGTTCATATTTATTTCTCTCTGCTTCTCTTGGGGAAGGTGGCTGGGAAATTCAAGTGTAGAGAAAATCAGAGCAGGGGAGATTCAAACTGAGGAAGGATAGCAGTGGCAGGACAAAACTTTATTCATCCTTACTTTGTCTGTTGAACGGTATCATGACCTTCTTTAAGTGGTCAACTGTTAGAAACCAGACAATCTGTATTCAGAAATAAAACAACATCAAAAAATCTTGCTCGGTAGGTAAGCTTGCAATTTCTAAACATTAAGGATCTGTACAACGATTAATTCAAGAATTGCATTGTGAATATGCCAAACAAAATGAAAGGGGTACTTAATATTGATCAGACGATGCTTTGAGTATTCACCAAGAAAAAGTAGCAGTTTTATTGCTATACAACCACAGGTGACAGGTCTCAACAATTTCCTGAATCCATAACAATTTCTTTAAATCCATAACAATTTTCCTAAATCTATATGCTTTTATGAACATATTTCAACCCAAAAATCAATACAAACATATTCACAGATAAGGAAAGACAATTAGATATCTCCATAATGGACTGTCATTACTACCAATTTCTATCCAGCTGCTATTGCAAATACAGAAGCTTTTTTGAGATGTCTTTGTCACTGTTTGATAGCAATTTATTGTGTGTGATTGGTCAGTAACAAAACCTGGGAAATAAGGTTATCAGTGCAATAAAAGTTTTCCTTCTATCATCAGAAAACTGGCAAAATGAAAAAGGAGCAAATGTTCAGCTGCTTCACTTCTTTTCTCCTCTAGTCTCTCTGAAATATTAGCTATCTCTTTGAAGGAAAGCTTATTATTTGCAGGGGTTATGCAGAGGTCACCAAAATGGTGTCTGTGGGCACAATGGCAGCCTTGTGGTCTCTCATGGCAAAGCTTCTGAGTTCCCCATCTCACTTCCATCTTGGTCATGATCAGGGGTTTTTTCCCCAGCTGGAACTCACTGGAACTGAGTTCTGCCTCCTCTTTGGTGCATTCTGGCACCTCATTGTAGCATACCGGCAGCTGTATAGTGGCCCTGAGCTCTGAGCTGCGTGTCAGAGGCAGTGGCGGAGCAAGCCGATTGGGCACCTGAGGCAGCGTGCGTGCCCTGCGTCCAGAGACGGGGCCAGCAACCCGCAGGTATGGGGCCAGCCACCCACAGGGCAGGGCAAGCTGCGGCAGGACACCCTGTGGGGCCTCCAAGGAGTCTGCCTGTCTCCTCCCTCTCAGCCACCCTACAGCCTGCGGGTGCCCAAGCCACCACATCATTTCCAGGAGAGACGTGTGGCTCAGGCGTGCTGCAGGCCCTGCGGTGAGTGCCGCCGGCATTTTGTCACCCCCTCAGTGGTGACACCCGGGGCAGTCCGCCCTCACTGCACCTTCTTCCTCCGTCCCTGGTTGGAGGCTTCGGGCTGCATGCTGCTCGTGGCTTTGTGTCAGAGGTTGTGGGGCAGCATGTCTTAGACGACGTTTTAATGCAAACACAGTGATGCCAGATTGTCTGTCAAAAAATGAGGGAGTTCCTACACCTCTTTTTCTAGAAAAAAAAAAGCACTGGTCAACCTTTTAGTCCCTTGAAAAGTACAAAGAGCCGAACAGGGAAGTTGGAATGATGCTCTGTCACACTTTCTCTTTCAGCTCTATGTGCTTTTCAAGGCTCAGATTATTTCTGCTGGAATCCATTTTTACCCAGATCACTCAGGAAAGCAAGGTCTCTCTCTGTGTGTGCTTTCTCTCTTTTTGTGTATGGCTTATTTAGTAGAGCAGGGGAGAGAAGTGGCCAGAAGGCGGGGGGCACACACTCAAAAATCTAAGTGTGACCACAGGCCAGAAAAGGCTGGTGCCTCCTGCTTTAATGTTTTCATCAAGTATATGACCTATACTTTCAGAAATGAATGGAAACTTTAGATGCATCAATTTTCAGTGCTTGCTCTGTTTGTGTCTGCTAAAGAGTAGCAGGTACTTCTCTAAGAACCCATCCTCACAGCACAAGTGCATCTTTGAAACAGTCTGCGTCAACTTCCAGCTGTGAATTCCAAATGACGGGGTCATTGTATAAAAGCCACAACTGAACAACACAGGGATGCTCTTTCTGCAGATTGCTTGCAAGACTAGCCTGCAGCGGCATGCAGAACATCAGATACATCTCATTGTGGCACTGACAGTCTTCACACAACCACTGCAGTGTGGGGCACCCATGGCTGAAATATAGTAAGATATGTACCAGCTAGTTGCTTTCAAGACAAAGGAATAAATGCCACTGCTCTTAGAATTGTGCTTTCTTTGACTCCAGATCCCTTCCTCTAGGATTTTTGATTCATCATCATATGTTTTATCTGAATTGTTAACTCAGGATGAGATGAAGGAAAACACAGCTTTACTGGTTCTTCTTTTGGGGGGCAGCCACTACCAAAATTGGTAGAATCAGAGGGGGCTTATTTTGTCTTGAGTTTTTAAATTCTGCAATTGGTGTCTTTGCCTTGATACTGGTCGTTGACCATAAGAAAACGACTTGACAGAGGGGGCTGAAAAAAATGGTTCAGGGGCGAATCTGGCCCTTGAACTGGGGGCTAAACACACTGCTGTAAAGCATAATACAATGGCGATGATGCAGGGTAAAAATACAGTGATGGTGAGTACAAGAATTACATTATACTCCATTGGCATTAGCAGACAGCATGGTGTCATCGTTTACATGCCCAGATGCTGTGGTGCCACTGCTCCACAGGGTAAAGGGACCCCTGACCATTAGGTCCAATCGTGACCGACTCTGGGGTGGCGGCGCTCATCTTGCTTTATTGGCTGAGGGAGCCAGCATACAGCTTCCGGGTCATATGGCCAGCATGACTAAGCCGCTTCTGGCGAACCAGAGCAGCACACGGAAACGCTGTTTACCTTTCCGCTGGAGCGGTACCCATTTATCTACTTGCACTTTGACGTGCTTTCGAACTGCTAGGTGGGCAGGAGCAGGGACCGAGCAACGGGAGCTCACCCCGTCGCAGGGATTCAAACCGCCGACCTTCTGATTGGCAAGTCCTAGGCTCTGTGGTTTAACCCACAGCACCACCCGCACTGTCCAAAAGACCACTCACGACAAAATTATATGGTTTGAATGAGGCCACGACATTATTGATTACAGATGTAAGGGGTTTGGCATAGACACGGGGTTGAAACAGATATCAACCAACCCATCTGCTGGATGATAAACCAACGAGTCCAATCAGTGCTGAGGAGGCCCTATGGCCATACATCAAATAGGAGCCACCTCTCGAGGGTCACCAACTTGAGGAATGCTATGGCCCTACCCCTGCCTGGGCATCCAGACAGAAGCACCTCCTCCTGGATCCTTTTCACTTGGAGGAGCAGGCCGAGGCTTACAACCTCCCCTCTGGCCATGACTAGGTTTTACCCAATGCCTTCTTTGCCACTCAAGCCGGACCAAATTCTGGCCAAATTCTGCTGCAAACAATCCCTCAAACTGACCAAGATATTCGCAAGTCACACATCATTCGCAGGTCTGCCCCCAGAGTAAGTCTGCCCACCAGCCCACGTGCCATCGTTCAGTCTGGAAGGCAGGCTCATCCTCAGTCTTTCCAGCTGGAGGGAGAGGTGTGTTATGTCTTTGTCTGGCAGGAAGACCCAGCACAGGGACTGCTTTGGGGGTGAGCCTGCACTGTTCTGCAACACTGTGTTACTGTGGAGTTGGAGGGGGGGAAGGCCTCCAATTTGTTTTCATACTTCTTAAACAAACAAAAAAGGTTCTCATATGGAAAGGTGCTCCTTCTCCATCTCTGCAAAGAGAGAAGGAGGCAGTGTGTAACCCACTGAAGTCAACAGTGAAACTCACATTGATCTTAATGGATAGAGACTGTCATCAGTTACTGAGCCCTCATTATTTTTGAAAAACATACTGCAGCATTATTTGCTAATATATTAGGAAATGATCATAAATAATTAAATCAAACTGCAGCCGTGAAAGTGAACGAGTATGCAGTAATGTATTTCATTTGCTTTTTAAAAAGCACTCTCTTGCCTGCAATACTTACTAATTCACCATGGATCTATGAGTTGTTAGTGCAATTCAGAGAGATCCAAATCGACTATTTGTCTGGGCTCTGTTTAGTTTTGGAAAGGACAATTTTAATGGAATGTAAAATGTACGGAACGGTAGTCCGCTGAGATAAAGGCCAGAGTATTGGATTGCCAGGCCTGATTGTGTACTTGCTCAACTGATCATTTACAACAGTGGCTTGCACTCTGCGCATACCTCTTGAAAATGAATGAGCACATTCTGATCTACTGCTCTAGTTATTTTCTAGCTTGTAATCATTTATCACAAACCCACATAAAAATGAAATTCAATTAATCAACCCATACAATGAGCCTGTCTCTTGCTATTTTTCTTTAATATGTTTTCCCACCGTTGAATAAAATTGTAATTGTCATTGCAAAATATCAAATTGGAGCCACATAACAAATAGCTATGGATTTGTAATTAAACCTAATAAAGCCCATGCTGAAATCTTTTTTTAAAGCAGGGAGCTAAAATCCAATTAAAACTTATTATGGGAAACACAATACCTGGGTTTCAAGACCAACATATCCTTGGTTTGTAACAAAAGCAGTCTTAAGGCTCTGCTACTCCAAGGTGTGACTCAACAAGCCAGGGTAAATAGCTGGTGGCAAAGAGGACAATACAAAGTGATGAATAGTCAGGAACAGAACACTTATCTCCTGTTATCACCATAGCCAGGTTATAATTATGTCCCAGTGTGCACATGATGCTGCTTTCTTGTAAGCTGATATTAATTTTTACCACCTGGGGTGGGTGGGTGTGTCTTGTATTACGCTAGTTCATCTTAGCAATATGAAGGTTGTTCATTAGAAAACAGCTTGACCGGTTAGTAGAGCAGGTAGTGCTACTGCCTTACAAAGATGATGCTAAACATAGCCTAGATTATGGGCGGCTGCTAAGCTTGGAACTGGAGCTTCAAGAGACATAAAGTTCCACATCAAGGGCCGACCATCGAGACAAGGTGGTATGTAAAGAGAAGGCAAGGTTGTGCACATGATTGGCACCATGTAGGAACAGATGACAGTGCTCAGACTGTCAGCTTATATCATTATATCATTTATTAT